GGGGGCAAATTTGTCATGTACACATGGGAGAAAGAAGAAGGACAAAAATGCAGGGTCAGCTATAGGTAGTCAGGAAGTTCCTTCAAGAGGAAATGTAGCCAAACTCCAAACCTGGAGACAATGGACCTTTCTGTGCCTGCGTCCTCTAGATAGCTAACCGCTTAGTTTGCAAAATAAGCAAGGAGGAGGGGGCAAATAGATGAACAATAAGGGGTCATAAGAGGGGCAGATACATGTAGCTTGCTAATTATGTATGGTAATGATGGCAAATTTTGGCCAATCATAGAGCGATAGATTATCATAAGCAACTGCATATAATGCTTTGGTGTAAGTGTTTTCTTTGTTCTTGCTGACTTATGAGCTCGAACCCAATTGCAATTGAAATAAACGGATCACCCCTCCCGGGGCTCCTTGCTTGATTAGCTGTGTCCTTCTCTCCTTATTCCTCAGCTGGAATGGACAGAAATTTCTATGACAAGCACATGTTTAAAGTTTTGCTCAAGGAATACCCATCTGAGTAGTTCCATTTTAAGTCGACAGGACCTCAGACATGTATAAACTTTGGACCATCTTTAAGTAGCTTGTTCAAGTGGGGCCTCGGAGAGGTCCAGTTTGAGTCTCATTTCTGTGAATTTGCAAGTCCCCAAGCAACATGAACCACTGGATTTTGGGGGGCGGGTGGAGGAAGTGCTCTAATTAGTTTATTCCCACTCTTGTGTCTGGTATAGCAGCTCACTGTCAGGCACAACATCGCTCATTAACTAGCCAGGTATGAAGGATGACACATGTTGTTGTTTCTATTCCCTGTGTTCATTTTATTTTTTTGCTCAGATAATTAAAGGACACATTCTCCTAACCATGCACGCAGCCACAGTTGAGGATAAAAAAATAAAGCTTGGAAATAACTGCAATAGTAAAGCAAAATCCACTTTCTACCTCCACAGGAGCACAAACGATAAATATTTTAAGAATCCAGAAACGGAACAAAGTAGTAATGTTGAATAAGCAGAAACCTCTTTTGCTAGAAGATTAGCAATTCAGGTTCTATCTTACAGGATCTGAATGTGTACCACCTACTGGCATGTCTCAAAATGATGTGATGAGCCATTGTTTTTCATAATACACTGAATACCATTCATAGTCTGGTATAAGCGCATGTTGACCACAGCTGAGTTTTTATGTGCCCTGATATCTTCTTTAAAAAAACCCAACAGCATCAAAGTTAAATGCCTACATTAATTAATGCCATTTCTTCACTCCAAAATAATCACAGGGACTCAATCCAGGGTCTGGATGTGAATAAATTAAACTTAAAGATCTGGCTCCTGCATCATAAAATGAAAGTCAACTCTAGTCTAAAGGACTAGACTGTTCCTAGCTTATGACAGTTTGCTTTAAATTGCAGACCTGAGTTCCAGCTGTGTTTTCAAAGAGTACTGCTGCAATGTAAGGGGAAACAAGTGGTTGAATGTATGTGAGCACTTATAGGGTTTGATTTTGAAAAGTTAGCTTGAGGGTTAATGTTAGGAATGGGCAAACCTTTGAAGGATCAGAGATTGTGTGCACCACACCCTCCTGACCGCAAGAGGGTTTGAGTCTAAACTTAACCTCTTGAATTTTAATCTTTACTCTACTCTCTTTGCAGCGAAGAATAAGACATCCTTTCCCTCTGAAACAATAAGCTAATTTCAGCTGCTTAGCTTCTAACCCTTGTCCCCTTCTAATGTGTTCACAGCTAATATTATTGTCTGGCTACTGAATTCTCTTCTGACACCTATGAACACTTTCACCAGTCACCTCTGGCCCTTACCCTGTCCTGTCTCAAACGACAATGCTATTCTCTATCTATGGAGCACATCCCTTTTCTAAAAGTGAGCTGATGAGAAACCTTGTTCTTTTCCCTGTACCCCTTCTGAGCCCTGATTTACCCTACAGAGTTAGGTCGATGCAAGGCAGCTTACATTGACTTCAGTGTCGACACTAAAATTTCACCCCCACTGATGAAACTCGCCCACTACACTGACTTAATTCCACCGCCACAAGAGGCATAGAGTTTGTTGATGTAATTAGGTCAACACAGTGTCAGCATAGATACCGAGTTACTTACATCGGCTGCTGCTGGCTTTCAGAAGCCATCCCACAATGCCCCACACTGACAGTTCAATAGGTGGAAGCACTCCTTGCGAGGACACACATCACCGATACAAGGAGCAAAGTGTAGACACGCACAAGCAGCATAATTACTATGGCATCTGTATGCCAAAGTAAGTTATGTCACTTCCATTTTGTAGTGTAGACATACCCTAACTTTCATCCACAACATTCCAAAGATACACCCTTTTGTCTCTCCACACTGTCAAAGCTCTTGTTTGTGCCTTTGTCTTGTACTGCAACTTCTGTAATCTCCACCTCTCAGGCCCAGGTTCCTCCAGTTTTCCCCTCCTTAAGTCCAATCAAGATGCTGCCATTGGGACTATCATCCTGGCTCATTGCTCCAGTCAGGTCACCCACCTATTTGCATCCTTTCACTAGCTCCTCCTTTTCTACTGCATCAAACAGGAAGTTTGTCTTTAGGATAATGCCCTTCATCTAGTGTTCCTAAGGGGCTTCATATTGTATTACAGTGCTGATGCCTGCCTTTGCTCTGACAACAATGCCAGCCTTCCTGTGCTGCCCCTTACAGGTGAGGGCCATCACCTTCTCCTCCTTTAAATCTCTCCTGCAGATGTTCCTTTGCCAAGATGTCTACAAGACACTGCTATCCCATAATGAGTAGTCAGGTAATAAACAGAGACTATCAATTGATCTTTGCAAAGCATGCTTCACTGACTTTTGCCCCATCCTCCCATCCTGCCACTCCTTTGTCTGTTTTTTTCCACCTGGTGTGTCTTAACCCTAGAGGTTGAGCTCTGTGGGGCAGGAACTCTCTCTCCTGCTCATTTGTACAATGCCTAGCACGACAGGTCTCAAGCCTTGATTGGGGCATCTCAGCCATGCTTAATTTGTGCCGGGGCGTGACAGTTCATAGCCCCAGCACCTCTTTCATTACAAATGAAGCACTGATCTCAGCACTACTATAAGTACAGTATCCTCTTATCCATGGGTGCCAGGTAAAAGAGGCCCCAACTAGAGGCGTGTCAGCCACTGCTCTGCCTGTGCTGCTCCTCTTCCTGCCCTGCCTCTTCCCCCCCCAAGACCCTGCCCTCACTCCCCCTCCCCCAAGGCTCCCACCGTGGGTAGCGGGGTGGGACCTCAGGGGAGGAGGCTGAGCAGGGGCGGGCCTCAGGGCACAGCAGGGGGCATGGCCTCCCACTTCTAGGGAGCTTCCAGCGCTTGCTCCCAGCCTCCCCAAATGCAGGAGTCACACGCCGGCCATGCTCTTATCTCCTTGAAAGGAGAGGCTTTCTAATGAAAAATGCTGCTGACGCATCCTTAAAAAGAGTGATAAGCAAAATCTTTCATTATGTATGACTCATATGAAATTAACAGCAGTAATAATCTGTCAGTATTGTACAAAGGAACTACCACAAACATTTGCTTCCTTAGCTTGTAAAAATCCTTGGCCCGCTTGTCTACAGAGTTACGGGCTGGCCCCTTTGCACCACTCAGCTATCTAATCTAGATATCTAATCTAAGCGAGAGAAGGGAACTCCCTGCTGGTACAAGTGTTCCCATTTCCAAACCTGAAGAGTTCCTGGCAGATGGGATGTGTTCTGGAGGCATGGCATGGTGGAGCAGAGCTGCGCAACATCTGTCCTTCATTGGCATAAGGTGCATTAAGAATGTTACACCAGTGGTGCAACTTAGAGCTGCTGCTGGGCTGCTCTAAATCACATGCAGGATGGGCCGGCCCTCAGAATCAGGGAGCAGTAATGAGCTCTTTGATTCTTCACTCACTTCTGTGCCAAGCAGAGCTCTAGTACAGGAGAGAATCTAGCCCCCTCTACTTCCCCAGTGAGCAGGAATTCATTTACTTGTAAAGTGAGGGGGTAAGAGGCTGAGGAAGCTGTGCAGTTACTTTTCTAGTTTAAACAAAAACTGCATCTCCGAATCCTAAGGATGGCTGCAAAGTCATTGGGCAGGGGAACATATGAGTGTGTTCTTTATCGGAAATGTTCTATTGTTCCTGAAACATATGCTGCATATGATGATAAATATAGCGCAAACGTCAACTTGCATCATTTTGTAGAAGGGATTATTGGGAGGACTTTTTTATGGGTTCTGGTTCTATTCTCACTGGAGGTTTTCTTTTTAAAAAAAAAAATACCTGCAATCCAGACATTCCGAAGGCCACGGCAGAGTCTTCTTTAGACACAGGTGTGGACCATATCTGTACTTTTCATTGTCATGGTTTGATTTCATTCTTATCTGGCATGCTTACTACTTTACCAAACACTGATTTCCTATCAACTTTCTTTATACATTTAGGGCCTGATGCAAAGCCCATTGCAGTCACTAGGAGTCTTTAAAACAGTGCCTCCCTCCTCCCATTAGCACTTCTACATACACATTTTTGTGACAAAACAGAACCCCTGATTTTGCAGATAGGAAGCTGTTTTCTTGCAGCAGCGTATGCATGCATTTAGGGATGTTAGTCTTTTAAAAGGTTTTAGCAGAAGAGCACTGGAGCCTCATTCTAATCCAATGTAATATAAACAGGTCTGTGATGACACCTGGGAACTGGGAAGTGGCACAAATTTAGACTCCCAGATAAGCCTCCATTAAGCTGTCAAATTGGCACCTGTGTCCATCACAGCTAGTGGAGTGTGTTTTTAGATCAAGGACCAAATTCAAGCCTAGTTCAAACAGATATTGCATTGAATTCAATGGAGTTGTACCTGCTTACTCCAGGGCTGAATTTGCCCTCAAGAGAAGTCTTTAGTCTACATGGAAACTGAATTATTCACCTTTCATCTTGCATTTTCATATCGAAGTAATGAAAACTGCTGATCTTAACCCTACCCCTCACCCCGATCCATATCCCCCTTCCCAGACAATACCTGTGATGGCTAACTGTGTTACAAAAAAGGTCATTCGGGATTTCCTCTTCCTCTTCCACGTAGAGAGCAGCACGATGGAGTTTCCAGCAACTGTGACAATAAAGAGAATCCAAAGAGTAACCAGCTGCTCTGTCTGCATGGGGGAGGGAAAAAAAGAAACCAAGTAAATGGATCAGTGGGTGGGTGAAAGTGGCTTGGGTTAAACAAGGTGATGAAGACTTAGCTATAACAAGCAGGCTGGGAATTAATACAATGGGATTTAAATATGAGTTGACAATTGATTTTTCACTTAATCCAAAAAGTCTATTTTTCATCAGAAAATGTTAAAATGCAGCAGCGTTTTTTAAAAAATGGAACAGTGAAGTCCTGGTTTTAATTTGATAGCAGCTAAGTGTGTGGGGTGGGGGTAATAATTTCACAAAGCCATCAGAAGCACATCATCAAGAATCACTGAAATGGGAAGTAACCTTCAGTTTTCTTATGTTGCTCTAGTGGACGATTAAGTCTGTCTGACTGTAGAAAAGAAATTTACAGATGGGCTCCTTGAAGAAACTAGAGGAATAAAATGCTTTGCTTTCTAACCCAAGCAAGTATGGGTCATGCAAGTACCTCATAAAAATCAACTCATTATATAAGAGGAGGGCACTAAGACTAAAAAAAGAACATTGCCATATGGTACTAGTCAGTGGAATCTTGCTGTTCAGAGAAATACATAATGGCAAAATGCCCCTTAGAGGTAGTATGTGTAAAAATAATAGCAATGAAAGAAAGGTTACCCAAACCTTTCAATGCCTCAAAGATTGAGCAACAAAAGTGAAGGACGTGTGAGGGAGAGAGAGATGCCTGTGTATGCAACCTGGGTTTTTTTTTAACCCATTTGCTCATGCTGAGATATGGATACAATTTCTGCGTCCACCCCCACTTTTTAGTAAAACTTCTTTCAGTCATTGGGAGCACAAAGATCATGTTTTTTTCCTTTAATACCCAGGCTGCTCAGTTCTTAGTTTTAAGAAGTACTGAACCTGGTGTTTAATGAGATTAAAATGGAGAGCAGACGTAGCATTTACACAACAGTTCATTCACAAAAACCTTGCCACTTATGACGTTGCCCATGACAAGTAGATTGTACTCCAAAAAAGGATTGCGCTGTTCTTTGACAGCTTCTCTTAATACACTGGCTGTTAACTGCAGTCCCATTCATACTGGAGTGAACTTTTCATAGTATATAACTTGTCTGGTCAGGATGTATTGCAGGATCTTAATGAAACAAGTTATTAAAATGTGGTAACAACAAAATATAGTGATCTAATCTTCCCCAGCCTCTCTACTCACACAATTCCCATTGTTACAAAAGTGTAGCTGGTCCGGAATTTAACCCTAATGATAATGTTAAAATTCAGGCAGTTCCTAGGCCAGGGGTGGGCAAACTTTTTGACCCGAGGGCCACATCGGGGTTGCACAACTGTATGGAGGGCCGGGTAGGGAGGCTGTGCCTCCCCAAACAGCCTGGCCTCTGCCCCCTATCCGCCCCCTCCCACTTCCCGCCCCCTGACTGCCCCCCACAGAATCCCCAACCCATCCAACCCCCCCCCACTTCTTGTCCCCTGACTGCCCCCTCCCGGAACCCCTGCCTCCTACCCAACCCCCCTGCTCCCTGTCCCCTGACTGCCCCAACCCCTATCCACACCCCCACCCCCTGACAAGCCCCCCAGGACTCCCATCCCCTATCCAACCTCCCTCTGCTCCTCGTCCCCTGATCACCCCCTCCCGGGACCCCCCACCCCTAACTGCCTCCCGGGACCCCACCCCCTTATCCAACTCCCCCTGCTCCCTGTCCCCTGACTGCCCTCCCAACCCCTATCTACATCCCTGCCTCCTGACAGGCGGCACAGGTCTCCCCAGGACTCTCACTCCCAACCCTCCTTGTTTCCCACCCCTTGATCGCCCTCCAGAACCTCCACCCCATCCAACCGCCCCCTCCTCCCTGACTGCCCCCCAGGATCCCCCGCTCCCTTACTCAACCCCCCCACCCCCGTTCCCCTGCCCCTTACCAGCACCAGGAGCTTGCAGTCGCGACACCCGGCCAGAGCCAGCTGCGTTCCCCATGCTGTTTTTCCCTTCCCCGAGTCACTAGCTGCAACCCCAGAACGTAGGGCACTGGGAGCTGGAAATGAGGTGATGAGCTGCAGATGAACGAAGAGCTGAACTTGTAGCCACCTCTGGTGAGCTAGAGGAGCTGCTGGAGGGGAGGGTCTGCTCATTGCCTAGCCTGCTGGGTGGAGATCGGGTACACAAGGCTGCTGCTAGTGTTAGTGGCTCTCCTGAATTGCTTGGTGGGGATGGGGATGGGGACAGGAGAAGGTCTGCAGAAAAAAAGTTCCTTAAGCAGCACAAAACAGAGGGGAAACATCTCTCTGACATACCTCTCTGCAACACAGCTGAGCAGGGAGGAGCCAAGTGGGAAGTCAAGCCCTGATGACCATAGCCAGGAAATACTCAGCCATGGGAGTGAAGAGAGAAGTTTAGAAGGGAGCAAAGCCAGGTGCATCTCACTCCACTGAGCAGTGCTACGAAAAAGGGAAAGTTTTGCTCCTTCTAAACTTGTGTCTTGGGGTTTGGCTTGCATCTTCTGTGTCTGAACTGGTTCACTATTCACTAGATAGGACACAATAATCATAGGATTGGAGGGGACCTTGAGAGGTCTTCTAGTCCAGTCAGTGGCGCCAGAACCGTGGGGGGGCCAGGGTGCTCCCACTTTTTGCCAAGGCTGACCCTGCCCCCTTCCCCTCCGCTCCCCCTGAGGCCCCACCCCCCAGCCAGGCCAGCATGGAGCCCAGCTGGGGAGGGGAGCCTGGGCCCGGGGCTGAGAGCAGCTCCCGGCCCATATCCCCGCCCCCCAAGCTCTTCACCCAGCCCAAGGCAGGTGGAGGGTCCACGACTCCGGGCCAGTTCCCCACAACTGCCTGCATGGCTCTCCCTGACCCGGCTCCAGATGGGAGGCGGGGGCGCTTCCGAGCCGCATCCCGGTTATGGTAAGAGCAGCGCCGCGGTCAGCTTTGGGGAGCCACTGACCCTCCACCTGGACTGGGGGCCTGGAGACATGGGCCAGGGGCTGCTCTTGGCACCCTACCCCCACCCAGGTTCCCTGGTCCTTCTCCAGCGTCTGGCTCGGCAGGGCTCGGAGCCTCTGGGGGGACGGGATGGGGCTTCTGGGGGCAGAGCCCCAGGGGATGGGAGCCCCTGGCCCCCCCACCTTTGGGAAGGTTCCGGTGACCCTGAGTCCAGTTCCCTGCTTTTTAATTCCCTAGTTACAATTTGTTTTCGTTACGGCTTGCCATGATGTTTGTTGCTGAAAAGTAACCTTTACATATTAGCTCACATTTGTCACTGAGGGCAAGAGATTGACACAAGGGATGAGTTCAGGATAGTGTTTCTTGCTGGGAAGTGATGTGAACTATGAATGAGACCATCTGCGGTCTCCCTTTCAGTGGTGCAAGTCAGGAATATTTCCTCAGAAATCAATGACTTTATGCTGGTGACGGTGAGAGCAGAATCGGGGCCTTTGTCACTAAAATCTTCTTGAGGTTTTGCCGGAAGAAATAAACGTGGATTTTAAGATAGCGTGGCCCATTCATCTGGAGTACAAAGCACATTCAGCGTAAGAAGAACCAATGCCATATAAATCCTATTTTGCTTAATTAAGGAGCAATACCTGACTGCATGTAATTCAGTATTCTATGGAAATGGACAACAGAACTACCCACACACAGATAATAACTCAATTAAATGAAAGATGAATACAAAAGGGAATAGTTGCCTGACATTAAGATTACTCAACGGAATCGATCAAGAAATAAGGCTTCCATTCTTCAGTCCAGCAGGGATTTACATCACTGAGAGAAAACAGAAGAGGTGCACTAATATGAATTAAGGATCAACAATGACCTGTTTTAATTATCATAGCCTTTGCAGGCTGACTTCAGCCTTCATTCAAAACTGCATCCCACTGACATCAGTGTGATCCAGGGCTGCATCTGGCTCTATGCTTACAATGCTAATGATGTATAAACATAGATTATTTAATTTTCATTTAATTTACTTGTTTGCTTTTTAACAAAAATACTTGTACAGCAACTTCCAGCTAAGATTCTGAAAATTATTCACACATCACTTACAATGGTCTCCATTAAAAAGTAATTATTTCCCAACAGATGTCAATTACTACTTATTCTTTAAAAAAAAGGAGGGGGGAGCAGGAGATGGGTTGTCTCCCATACCACAGCATGGCAACTCTTGGCAAATGGTAATTTTGTAAATGGTGACTGCTGTAATTAATCAGCACAACATCACTTTGAGGTAGGTATGTATTCTCAGCCACTGCTTACAGATGGGTACACAGTTTAATTAAGTGACATGGCCATGGTCACAAAACCAATCAGTGGTAGAGCTGAGCATGGCAGTCAGGAGCTCACGGATGTTTGTAATCTATTGTAACTACTACTGCTCTATGAGATGACTGGAGTTGGAATGTGGCAGTATTTGTCACCTGAAGCTGATATGAATATTTTGCTAATTTACTTTACGATTAAGAACAACCTTTGCCCATGAACCAAATTAGAAAATTGCATCGGAAACAAGAGGAACGCTGAAATTGGCCTTCTCCTGCATTTTGTATTCAGACAAAACTCCATTTGACTTCAGGGAGTTTTGACTGGATGAAGACTGCAGGACCAAGCCCCATATGGATCATTGTGGCTATTTTGGAAGTACGTTAGCTCTTCCACTGTACAGCATTTGAATCTGCTCAGTGTGTTTTACAAGGGAGCGTAGGTATCATTATCCCCATTTTATACCTGGGGGCACAGAAGTGAAGCGACTTGCCCAGGGACCCACATCAGGTCAGTGACAGAGCTGGGAATAGAAGCCAGAGCTCCTGACTGCCAGTCCAATGACCCACCCATTGGACCAGGGTGCCTCTCAAAAGAAAAATGCATAACTTGATTACTCTGAGTACTTTTGGAAGCTGTAAGGCTGGTATTTGCCTTTTGGTGATGCTCTAATTAAAATGAATGGCCTTCGCTCTAGTTGCCCCCAGCATGGTCTAGACAAAGGCAGTACATATACTGTGTGAGAGCTGCTGCTTTTTCTCCACTAACAACTAAAACAGCATCTGGCATTTTGTCTCAGATGGCAGGATGTGATTGGAATAGAAAGACAGAAATTTCTATCAATAATAGATGTCAACAATGTCATTTTCACAATACCTAGCTCAGAAGTGCCACTCTGCTATGTTTGGGTAGGAGATGGACAGTAAATGGGGACAGCCTTACTCCAGCTGGATGATTTACTCATCCCCATCCCTCCACACAGGCACCCTTCAGGAAAAGGATAACATCCAAAGAAGTGGGATGTAGCCCACGAAAGCTTATGTGCAAATAAATTTGTTAGTCTCTAGGTGCCACAAGTACTCCTGTTCTTTTTGTTACATTTCTGAATGTCAGCAACTAAGCAGCATTTCTTTTTCCTTATTTACCTTTTCATGTAGTGAGTGTTCAAGGAATAATTACATAATTTCTGCATTTATAGAAAATTAGCTAATAGAGATATACTGGATCAGTCAATGGTCCATCATATAGTTATGTTACCGATGTGTGAGTAAGTGTAAGCAGGTCTAAAGTGTGTAGTTAATATAAAGGAATCTAGCCCACATGTCACAACTGCATTTAATCTGTAATGAAATTGTCAATCCTGGTTAACAAGTGCCCTCAGAAAAATTCCCTTGTACCTATTGCTCCTGCAGAAAATCCACATTCACATGTATGCACAAACATACACAGCAGCATACATGGAAATAAAGTATTTCAATGCATCAATACTTTCACTATTACTTAGCACTTTCAAAGTGCTGTATAAACATAAACTAATTTATTCTGACAATGCCCATGAACTAGGTATATATGTCATCACCACCATTCACAGACTGAGAGACCAAGAATCAAAAGTGACTTGACAAAAGCCACACCAAGACTGATGGGCAGAACCAGGATTAGAACTCTGGAGTTCTAGCCCCTGGTCCAGGGTTCTGTCCATGAGATAACACAGCCTCCCAAATGTGCTTCCCCCACTTTTTTTCAGGGACACAGGAAGTACATTGATGTTGTTTCTGGGCACACCCATTGCACCCTAGTTTGACATTTTAGCACTTCACTGAAATTTGTTCCTGAATCGAATTGTTTAATTTTCTTTCCCCAGTAGGTCACTCATTGTTTTTGATGTGGTTCCTTACCATAAAAGGATTGGGCCTATTAATGTATAACTCATGCTAGTAATGTTCTATTACCATTATAATAATTGAGGGGTTTATCAAATACTTAGGGGACTCTTTCCTTGTCGTCTCTTGATGTTGATGCATGTTTCAGGAGCGTTACATCGATATTAAGAATTGGATGATGAATAAACCATATCAATAAACCACAAATGATTCAGTGATTCATCTAAATTCATAATTCAAAAACCAAAATCTGTGCCCAATCCTGCCCATCCCACTGTTGAAGCAGTTCTCACTAATTGACTTGGATTAGCTCCTTTTCAAGGAAGTGAGGCATATTCCTGCCCACATAAAATATATAAATAACTTAGCAGAATCATAGTAACAATGATAGAACAAACATAATGCCACCTAGCTCTTACAGAACACTTCTCATCCAGAGATCTCAAAGTACTTTATAAAGGAGGTCTGTATCATTATCCCCATTTTACAGATGGAGAAACTGAGGCACAGAGAGGTGAAGTGACTTGCCCAAAGTCACCCCACAAACCAGGGTCAGAACCAGGAATTGAACCTGTGTCTCCCAAGTCCCAATCCAGTGCCCTATATATACTATTTTGTTTCATTTATAGCACCTGGAAATGATTTGCATATTTCATTGTTTATTCTGATTTTGAAACAACCCCTATGTGACACATGGCCAGAAATCACCCTGCAGGATAAATGACCCAAATTCAACCTTTAGGGACATACTGGTAGATAATGTTTGTGTTTACATATACATTGTTAGAAGTTAACAATGTAATCAAATAGTACCTGTCTATGCTGTATTCTGTTAATTCAGAGCTCAAAATGAGATTTTAAGATTTAAATGAACTGTAAATAGAGTGAGATCACTGTATTGATCTCTTTGAAATGTATAGCAAATCACTTGCAAATGGTGGAAAACAGGCAATTGTTTTACGTTAATCAGTGTAGCTAATCACTGGTGATGCTTAGGAAATAGGTCTACTTCAAAGTCTCAATGATTGCCTATTGTTCACCAAAGGACTCTGAGCTATTAAGAGAAAACCTGAAACTGTATAAAAAACCCCTTGGATCCTGATCCTTTTTATCTCAGATCTGATTGATGCTTTATGCCAAGGAAGCTTGAGTCATAAGACTGAGATCTCCAGTCCCACCTGGATCACCCTGGATATGAACATTGGACTATAACCTATGGACTAATTCTGAAAGAACTTTTTGCAACTACAAAGCTCACCATCTCTACTATGAAACTAATCTCAAAACTGCACTCATGTCTGTATGTATATTGGTCTTTAACCAATGCTCTTTCTTTTTAAATAAATTTTAGTTTAATGAATGAGAATTGGCCATAAGCGTGTATTTGGGTAAGATCAGAAATACTCATTAACCTGGGAGGTAATGTGTCTGATCCTTTGGGATTGGTAGAACTTTCTTATAGGATGAATACGATTTTCAGTAATCCTCATCATATTTGACTTGGGTGTCTAGGTGGAAGCCCAAGGCTGGGTTGCTTTAAGGGAACTGTGTTTTGGCTTCTGGATAACCGGCTCTCCGAGCTCTGGTCAAGTGTAGGTAGTCTCTTGGTCTATCCAAGGCCGCCATCAAGTGTCTTGATGTTTTTGGTCTTTTGGCCTCGAGATGAAAACCTTGCCTTTGTTTCTGGGACCTTGAAGTGAAAAAATTCTCTAAGTTATAGCTGTTTTGTGCTGACTTGGTAAATCTAAGTATTGGAATATCCACAAGCTTTGGAGATTGTCTGTCCCATTCTTTACAGTTTGCCCTAATTGAGTAACCTCAGTGTGGCTCCCCTGGGACCCCGGTCACATCATACAAAACATTTTTTTCTGCTTATATATCGTACTTAAGTAACCTATGCACGTTTGCATTTGCATCGTGGGAAATTATACAAATACGTGGTAAGTGCCATGCACCCTTTTCCTTGCAGGGGAAAGAATTACGACAAAACTTTTTTATAGTTCCAAGAACTTTCTGATTACATATGTGGCAATGCCAGAGAAGAAGAAGGTGATTGTCATTAGATATGAGATGTTAATTTACAAGAATATAATAGCCTACCACTTTGTAAAGAAATTCTGGAGTAGTCTGGTTTGAAGGCAATGTATTAGGCTAGCTGCTAAGAGCTGAAGCCCAGATTCTCACAAGTTATTTAGGTATCTAAGTAAGTGCCATTGTAATCAATGTGAGTTAAGCTCCTAAATATCTTTGAGGATCTGGGCCAAATGTCACCTGAAGGAGATCTGTTCTCTTCTAGTAGTTTGTCTGGGGGAAAGACAGGGTGGTTTCTTGTCCTCCACTTAGAATGTGTAATTAGTAACCTGGATGAGGAAAAGTCAGCATGGTTACATAGTTCAGGGCATGTCCCACTGCTGTGTTCCCTGCCCCATCGTGATTCTGTATATTATCCAAATGGAACCCCCAGACAATCTATGGCATGTAACGGCCAATTCAAACTTTGCATGTTAAGTTCCACTTTGGACTTCCTGAGATATGAGGAGTGGATATAAAGCAGAGAAGGGACTATAGGTGAGGTGAACTAGGGAATCCTGTCACTACACTTTTCCCTGCACTGATCATTGCATAGTATTAAAGTTTAACCAGGGACTGGTGCTGTTAAATTACTGATTATTAAATTCATACTAAACGTAAATAATCAGGCTCTGTGGAAGAAGCAGGGTGACAAAGAAGAAAGGAACCTGAATAGATGTCACAATTGGGCTTTCATGGATATTTTTACCTATACAACTGCAAGACTTAAGCGTAGCAGTGATGTGACTATGCTGAGAATGGGCCTCCATGTATATTTTGAGACGTATTGGCCCATCTTACCCACAGACTCCACTGTAGGATCTTCCGCACTGAATGAGCAGATGGATTCAACACCTTTCAGAAAAACAAAGACAAGGGTCACGATGTCTGTATCCAGGATGGATATTTTATAAGGAAGTTTTAGCGGGCAAGTTCTCTGCTGCTATTCACTGCTAGTGCAGCTAGTCTTGAGGACTATAAAGGAAGATGCTTGTTACTTTGAGTAGGAGAGATGCTTTGTCAACCAGAAAAATGAAAAAGGAGAATTAGGGTGAAATCCTGGCCCCACTGATGTCAATGGCAAAACTCCCCTGAATTCAATGGGGCTGGGATTTTGCCCTGAAAGGTCTAAAGCGTAATTGTCTTATGTGGAAGACATTCAAATACTGCTGAACAAGGGAGCAGGGAGGCATTCAGTGACTCTTCTGTACAGTTATGATGCCAGTATCCTTACTTCCACTACTGGACACAGCACTCCAGAGAACAATATGCCAGTTTGGCCATTGATATAATGTTTCCTGAGACAGGTGTGTAAGAACACTTTGCACTTATCCAGTGTCTTTCCTCTGGGTCTCTCTTAGTGGGGGAAATGATGTGCAGAATGACCTGGCAAAGGTCACAGGCGCAGGCAGATACCGGGTAAGGAATAGAACGTCGGCCTCCTGAGTCTCAATCCTCTGCTCTAACCTGCCTCCTTCATATCACCTTATGACCAGGAATCTCATTTTTACAAACCATTAAGTCTCAGTTCGCCTTACATCAGTATTTACCATACCTATTTACAGCTAATCAAAGGAAGAAGTCAAAGGACTAGAGCTGGTTGGAAGTTTTCCAACAGAAGGTTTTTCTGATGGACGAGGCCACTTGGATGAAATTTAAATGGTCTGCAAGACTGTGACTGTTTTGATGAAATTCAAGTGCAAACCTGCCTGGTTTCCTGCCCACTCGCCGGCCAGACTCTTGAGCAGCCCACCTGGTAGACTGATAGTGAGCCTGGGCTCCTGGCTGCAGGGCAGCCTACCAGGATGTACAGGAAGGATACAGTCCAATCTCTTGTACGCTAGTGGAAATTTAGAATAATTCCACTGACTTCACTGGAGTTACACCAGCTCTACACTGGTCTGTCAGCGATCAGCATCTGTCCCTGAACATATCCATCTATATCTCATTCATCAGCATCTAAACGAGTACCTCAATCTACTTGTCTGAATTCATGACGGCACAGAGATCACTTTCAAAGGTAGAAATACCCTGTCTTCCACAATACTGCATATATTTCTACTTCCATATTTTATACTGGGAACTTGACTGATACCACATATCTACCGTAACAGAAGCATGGCATGTATGCAGCCTGAACTTAAGTGCTGTATAAGGATGACAGCAGCCAAAGCAATCTAAATTAAGGCTGTCATTCATTATTTCACACCGCACAACCTGTTCCCTACATTCACATGGTACAGAGCTGGAAAAAACAGAGCTGCACTTGACAAAATGCATTCATTCTTATGAGCTCCTTCTCAACATCCCTTTCACTGCCATGCTTGCCACATTCTTAAAAACAAGCTTTTCCTCTCCTACAGAGCCCCCAAAAGTCAGCCAGCACCACTCCTGATTAGAAACAACTTTACTTGTCTGTGTACAACATGTTGCTGGGGCTGATAGATAATTGATATCAAACCCTGCAGATTCAGGTGATAGTTGTAATACAGAGTTTAGCTAAGAGACTTAATTCCAATAAAAAGCTACTGAGATGAAAAAAAATCTGTATAATGACATAGCAATCATATGAATGCAGCACCATGCTATCATGCATGATTAAAGATCTTTTAGGGCTACAATTACATCGGGCCCCTCAATAACTGCCTGATACAGGAAATAGTCCTTACAAAGACAATCACAAATTTTAGGCATAAACTCATAGTATGAAGCTTTTAATAAATAATCTGAGTCACACACACACACACACCACCAAACTACTGAAAATGCAGAGAGCTGCAAGCAGGTGAGAACAGTAAAGCATGCTGTCTGTACCTTAAAGGAATAGTAGAAGGATCCCCATTCCTCGTCTTCCACTACTTCAGTGAAAGTCATTGTTCCTGTGCAAGTTACAAGTGTAAAATCCAGCCTCTCTCTGCTTCCATTTAAGCTGCTGCTGGCTTCTGTGAAACTGACTTGCATTGCTAGGTTTTGTTCTGGTTAAGTTGTTGCTGCTGTGACAGAGAATTAAACACAGCCAAGCTCTCCTCAGAAGAGCACAGCAAAAACTACAGCTTCACTGCTCCACCACTGGCTACACGAGGCATGAGGCTTCCGTGCAGCTGAGTGATTAAAATCCAAGCTGGACGCTTTCCCCCAAACCGTCCATACTGACAGAATTCTGATGACAGCTGGCCATACACTCCTTCCAGTAGCAGCAGCAGCAGCCTGTAATGTACCTAGTGCACGTGGCATCATCTTGAAGCCTTGCTAATGCTTGCTTGTCCTACAGCCAAAGTTTCTAACTCTAGGAGTCAGGATTACCTGGAAAAACGTTAAGTGCCATATGATGTTATAGTCCAGCACCTTGGTTAGTCCACTCTGCATCTTAGCTCCTTAGCTTTAGCACAGCCCAGTCAGTTTTTTTGCATGGACTGATTGTGTTTTAGTCACCCCTCTTGGATTATATAGCCATTGGAGAGGGGCATCCAGTTCCATAGCACATAGGCTGAGGAATGACATAGCACTGGTAACTGACATGCAGATTGTGAGAAATGTTGTACACAAAGTGAAAGTGAAGACTGATGGCCAAATCAGCAGAGAGTCAAAGGACGTTTAAATTGGCCCATTTAGACTGCAGGGCCAGGTTCTTATGTTACATTGGTGGTAGTCTGGATTAAATTTCACTGTCATCAGTGGTGATACTCCAGAATCACAGCATGTAATTGAGGAGATGCTGCACCCCTCCCCACACTTGAACTAAAATCTGATCTCATTTATAACACAATACATTCAAAGTAACTACCTGCTTCAGTGGCATTACTTTGCCTTCACACTGAGAGCAGAATTTGGCCTATTTCAGAGTCAAACACTCACATGCCAATATGTAATTTCCCCTTTGTTACATAATCACTGATTCCAACCCTGGATTTTCAACAGTCTAGCAAAAGAAAAAAAAATCTATTTTCCATATATTTCTGTTTGGTCCCAAATTGAGTCCCTTGATTTCCCAAGGGGAGCAGGATTCTATTTCCAACACTGCCATAAATGTGCAGCGTGACCTCGAGCAAGCCACTTCAGGATAGATTCCGATACCCTTACATATTTTGTGTAGTTCCTTATCTGGGCCCTGATCCAAAGTCCATTAGATCAATGGAAAAACTCTCATTTGCTTTAGTAGGCTTTCAGTAACATCCTTTGCAAGTAGTCCATTTTCAGCAGGACCATTTGAGGAGTAAGATACTACTCAAAGTATGTAAGGACAGGGAACTCTGGCCCTTAACCTCAACGTGCTTGAGTTTCTTCCTTAGTAAAATGGGGATTATATTTATCTCCCTTAAATAAGTAATAGGACACTTAATTAATTAATATTTATAAGACTGAGATTTTCTGTTGGCAGGGGCTATAAAAGTACTTTTTTGTTTGTTTGTTTGTTTTCAATATACTTGGCTTATTTTCACCTTGCTCTTAAACACGCAGTGACTTAGGGCTACATCTTGCAATTCCTAATCATGTAAGTACTCAGTCCCATTAGTTTACTCATGCAAGGGCTTCAGGATGGTGTCTTGACACCATCCAAGCTGGTTTTCACATAATCAGGGGAGTGTATGGAATCTTCTACAGGAAAAGAATGAAGTTTCTTATAAAAGCCACAATTATGACACCAAAGTCACCAGCAATTGGGTACAGCATGAATCCCTTGTCATAAGAGCCATGGAGTGTGTTTGCTAATGGGAATCTCAGACCGACGACAAAGGGGTTTTTTTAAGGCCTCAGGGGACAGTCATTCTCACATGCACAAATCCTTAACTCTTGCACCTTCCAAGTTATTGAATCATAGCCCCATCAACAATCAATTAACCTAGTTTATTCTGAGCTAGTGAATGATGGGAGTGGAATGAACAGGCTCTTCTTTCAGATGAAGAATCTAAATTCTCTATAAAGAAACCAAGAAGAACTAGGACAAAGGGGGCAGAATGAGCCCCATTGCAATGAGACCAGGGCAGCAGTGTGGGTGAGGGTAAACTTCTCGTTTGGGGAATGGTGTAATGGTAAGACTTTGATTGCTGCATTTAGATTGAGCTCTCAATTTCATTGGCCAGCAGCAATTCAGAGGAGGCATCAGCAAGAGGACATCGCACCACCGCTGACCTCATCACTCCAGGGTGTTCCATCCGGACTGATTTTTTCCCCCCTCACAGTGTCAGTGTGTAGCAGCAGAGGAGCAAGTAACAACTTGCTTCTCCATGCCACCAGGGCTTCACCAGCCAGGAGTTTTTCCTAGCAGAGTTTGGCCCACACCAAAGAATTTGGATCTAGGTCTGAATTTTGACCTCTTTTATCCGCAAAATTGGAGGCGCTAATATCTGGGCTCTTGTTTAACATCTCTCTCTATTTGACAACACTCTGGTAATAGAGCAGAGGAATGCAGACCATCATCAATGTGCATTTTACCCTATAGGTAAGTCTACTGAGTCTCTTGAATGTACTTTGAATAGGGAAGTGGATTCCCTGTGTGAGAAAAAGAGGAAGCTTCAGGGTCTTCCTGAGCTCACTCTGAGTGATGTGGCAGTAATATCATAGGATTTGGGGGAGGGGAGTTGAGTTGTAAGATTCCGCTCCAGATTTTGAACACCCCAAAGTTTGGGTGTTCTGGATCCAGGGGGTTTGGTTGTCCCATTCTAGGGATGTGGAAGAGCCCTGAAATTCAGGTCAAGGTCCCCATTTCAAGCCTCCGCAATGATTGGGGATGGGAGGGGGTCTTTGGATTTAGGATTTTGGCTCAGGCCCACCTCTAGCTAACACAATTCAGAGACTGAAGTGAGGCAGCTTAGTAAAAAGCGAGATGTGGATAGTGAATAAGGGTGCTACATTTCTATAATTTAGCAGGAAGAAGACCCATGCAGTGATTGGACAGGATCAGCCATGATAAGTATGCACCAGGTAACAGTATAAGAAATAAAGGGGATTATTCACAGAGGGTAATGCAATAAACAATGGCCTGATGCCATAGGGAGAAAATATTTAGCTGAGAAGTGAGGGGACATGTATTAGGAATTAGTGGAATAAACTAGCAAAAGAGGTTCCATCACTGCAGAGACAAGGCTTTAGGTAAGACAGGAAGGAAAAGGAATTAATTCAGATGGACGGTGGGTGCATGAATAGACCTAAATAGCATCCTGGGGAGATAGATCAGTCAAAATGCAGCAGCATCACTGTCAATTGTACAGCATTGCTGGGGTGCCACGAGGGTGATGATCCCATCCGTGCCTTTCAGACCTCTGTCACTGGGGGAGAGACAGTCAGCACAAGGTGACGTTTAACATTGTTGCTATAATAAGAATGTTTCTCTACATCACTCTGACAATTACTCCTGGGGGAATTCTGCACTACTGCACAATGCAGAATTTTGCAGAAATTAACATTGTACGCACAATTTCCTTTCTCCCACAGAAATGGGCTGCAGTGCTGTTGGCCACCACCAAGGGCTGCTGGACTCAGCAGACACCAGCTTGCACATGGAAGACACTGCCGGGAGGAGAGGACGGGGAGCTAAAGGGTTCCTGGCAGCTGCAGTTCCCAGCATGCCTTAAGAGAAGGAGAGAGCAGGACACAGGAAATGCCATACAAGCCTGGGACCGAGCATCAGGCTGTTTATCCCTCTGGATCCCTGGGCTCTGCGGGGAAGGGGGTGCAGGTATCTGGGCTGGGGGAACCCGTAGCTGGGCTTCGGAGGGAGGAGGTTTGGGTGTATTAGCTTGGGGGGGGGGGCAGCTGGGATCTGCGGGGTGGGGGGAAGGGGATAGAGAAATAGGAATTGGGTTGTCATAGGGGTTTCTTTAAATCTCTACTCCTGGGGAATATTTGTGTGTGTCTGTATTGTTATAATAAATTACCAAAATAATTGAACGTGATTATATAATTGGTGTGATTATAGAGTGTTATTTTGACAAATACAATTTGCAGAATTTTGCAGAATTTATAATTTTTTGGCACAGAATGCCCCCAGGAGAAGAAAATGCCTAAGTAGACAATGCAGAAACACTATAAATCAAGAGAAAAATAAAGAAAATGCAAGAGAGAGAGAGAGAGAGAGAGAGGGAGAGAGAGAGAGAGAGCATGCGCAAGCACACAAGTGACACAGCAAGAGATTGGGGGCCATCAGCCAGGCCTGAGAGCCCAGGAGGCACTTCACTCTGTCTTGCACCCACTTGTAGAGAATCTGGGATTGAATGTTTCTCTTATTTTATTTAAGCCCAGCTTGTTTCCACTTTACTCCCATTGAGGAATAGTTACTCGCAGAAGTAGTTATATTCACTTCAGTGGGACAATCCATATAAATGCTCACTGTGGGAGCAAGCGATCCACAATCTGACCCCCTTTCCTGTAAGCTCTGAGGCAGAAACCAGCCTTATGTGCCTGTTCTGTAAAGTGCCTTGTGTATTTAATGGCACTAGATTCTGCCACCTTTACTCAGGCTGAGTAGCCCTTTACTCAGCAAGAGATGCAATTGGAATGAATGGGATTGCTTGCAGTGTACGGTACAGTAGAACCTCAGAGACACGAAGAGAGTTATGAAGTGACCAATCAAGCTCACCCGGAACCGGAAGTACGCAGTCAGGGAGCAGCAGAGATGAAAAAAAGCAAATACAATACAGTACTGTGTTAAATGTAAAGTTTAAAAAGAAAGATTTGACAAGGTAAGGAAATTGTTTCTGTGCTTGTTTCATTTAAATTAAGATGGTTAAAAGCAGCATTTTTCTTCTGCATAGTAAAGTTTCAAAGCTGTATTAAGTCAATGTTCACTTGTAAACTTTTGAAAGAACCATAACGTTTTGTTCAGAGTTACGAACAACCTCCATTCCCGAGGTGTTCATAACTGAGGTGCTACTGTA